TCTTTCTTTCTTTCTCCTCCCTTTCTTCTGGCATTTCTCTGGTCTCTGTGGTTTTCTCTCCTTCTGTTTGCAGTGTCCTTTCGTCTCCCCTCTTAATTCTTAGGTCACATGTGGTGGCCTGTGCCCGTTACACCAGCATTCGGGAGGCTGAGGCAGGAAGCATGCCTTGAGTTTGAGGCCAGCATGGTCTACATCATGAGTTCAAGCCCAGCCTGTACTACCTATTGAGACCCTGTCTCCAAAAGCCACTACCCCCAAAAAAGACCAATTCTTTTCACTCTCCCAGTTCATTCTCTGTTCTCTAGCCGACATGAACTCTTCAAATGCTTATTATGACCACGCTGTTGTTTGCTCAAAACTCTCGTGTCTTCCCCAGTGCCCCTACAATAAAACCCAGTTGCCTCTGTGGATCGGAACCACTAGACTCCAGCTTCCTCACCTCCTGCCCACACCCGCGGACTCCTTCCTTGTCCTAGCTGAACTTGTCCTCCTTCTGCGCTACAAACGGGCCATGCTTCTCGCATTGTCGGAGCCTGTGCACACCTTTGTCACCTGCACACTTCTTGGTCCCATTCCCAAGCCAGTGGCTGATCCTTTAGATCTCCTTTTCAGAATCAGTTTCGCAGGCACAGGCTTTCCTAGCCCGGCAACTCCAGCTTGGATTCCCCAGTTAGCCTCTGTTTCTGCTCCTTAGTGTTCTTTGTTACTCTAATGATGGTTAGCCCGTACTTTTCGTTTAGTTTTATTTTCCTCTCCTTGTTGGCGTAGGAAACACATCCATATAATATAAAATTCAAACTGTGCAAAAGACATGGAGTAAAATGTGTTTTACTCCTTTGTACCTGATACCTGGTATTACCTCTGTTTTTTTGGTACCAGGATTCAAATACGTGACCTTGCCCTTGCAAGGCAGGGGCCGTGCCGCTGAGCTACGTCCCTGGCCCGAGGACTTTTTTTTTTTTTCATGTATTTGGCACAGGGTCTCACTACGCAGCTTGGACTCGAAATGATCCCCCTGTCTCAGCCTCCCCAGGGCGCTGGGATTACAGGCTTGGGCCGGTGACTGCCAGCCAGGCACTTATGCC